AAAACAAGCCCTCTCAGATGGTGGGAAAAGCTCTTTGCATAGGCACAAGGACCAAAGTGAGAAGGTAGACCAAAAAATAATACGTCAACCAAAAATGACACCAGATTCTTCACAGATCTGTAAATGTCTTGCCAAGATTTTCACTGTCATTCCATGAGGTGGTTCTACCTCATTTTCACTTCTGTATCTCTCTGCTTTGCCCACAGTTCTGTGTGTGTATGCTGTATTTTAGTTTGCTTTGCAAAATCGCTTCATAAATACACATATCAAAGAAAATTGGCAAGTGTACAGGTATCATTTTAGATCTCTTGTATGATTATAATATGCCCACTAAGGACAATTTAACTATATGGTTGAAATTAATGTGAAGAAAAAAGGCTGCCAGGTGCAACCTGGAAACTCTACACCAAAAGAGACAGAATTGGGATGAACTTGAGGGTACAGATATGATTAGTTGCAGTTAGGATGATCTCCAGGGAAAAAGTGCAAGTAAGTCTTCTCAAGAATGTATCAAATGAGGGAAGATTTTGGGCAATGTGCTATGAATACTAGAGAATGTTTAGCACAGGCTGTAGTTAGCAGCTGGATGGGGCTCAAACTTACATCTTTTAGAACTCATCACTCAACATGGAGACATTGGGATAGATTCACCCATTCTGACAGCTGATAAGGAAAGAATTCATTCTCTAGCCAGATGGTGACAAGACCACAGGCACTTTGGGTCCAGGAGTTTTGAGGCAATATGCCATAGCAAATTCAGGGGAGTATTTGTTATATTCAGGTTCCATGTGGGTAAGGTGAGCAGATGAGTGCTGAAGACTTTCTGTACGTGTTTAGTACCCTGAAGTCACAGGAGGTGTATGACACATTGTCAGAGTGTTTCAAGAAGGTAGTGTGTCAGAAAGTCCTGATGACTGGCAGCAGCAGCAGACCCTCTGGGGAAGAAGGGGAAAGGGAGCTGCAGGGAACAGATGCAATATCTTAGCTGTTTATCAGAATACCATACAACTACTTTCTGATGGATTTGAGCTTCAGCTGCCTGGTTTGGACTTGGTTTAGTTTCTTGGGTTTTTTTACCTGAGTTCTTTTGAGAAACACACATTTTCCTTATGAAAATACGTGTTTCCACATTCAAGATCATTTTGATTATCTTGAATGTGCCTGAGAGGCACCTGGACTGTTACCTTGTTGAATTGGAGGTGATAAAAGGAAAACCAGAGGGAGAAAAGAATTTAGCTATAAAGTATACTTTGCCTAATTTTTTACAGGTAATGTCAACTTTTTTTAGATTTTAGGCAGTAAAGCCAAATTAGATGTATCCATTGCCTTTGAAGAATTTCAGATTATGTTCTCAAACCTTGGCTATACTTCACAGAAGTTTACTGCTTTCATTTTAAACAAACTATTAGATTAGAAAAATCTTATAGGATGGAGTGTGTTTCAGTTTAAAACTATTACACCTTGTCCTATCACAGCAAACTCGACTAAAAGGTTTATTCTCATCTTTCTTATAAACCTGTCTTAAGTATTGAAAGGCCACAATAAGGTCTCCCTGGAGCCTTCTCTTCTTCAGCCTGTACAAACCCTACATACCTTTCCAATTTAGAGAAGGATATTCTGGAGGACTGCATCAAGGCCCAAAGAGAAGTCCAGACAAATAACACTGGTAGACCTTTCCTCATCCACCGATGTAGTCACTCCATCATGTAAGGCCACTAGTGTGGTCAGACAGGACTTGTCCTTGGTAGAGCCATGCTGGCTGTTCCAAATCACCTCCCTGTCCTCCATGTGCCTTAGCATAGCTTCTAGGAGGATCTGCCCCATGATATTCCCAGGCACAGAAGTGATTCTGACAGGTCAGTAGTTCCCAGGGTCCACTTTTTTCTCCTCTTTAAAAATAGGTGAAATATTTTGCTTTTGCCAGTCACCAGAAACTTCACCTGATTGCTATGGTTTTTTGAACATCATGGAGAGTGATTTGGCTACATCAGTCAATTCCTTCAGGACTCTGGGATGCAAATCAGGTCCCATAGACTTATTTATATTCAAGTTCCTCAGGTGGTCACAAACCTGACCTTTCTTTCTACTGTGTTTCCTGAGTTCTTATACTATTCCACATCTACCAGCAGTAGGCAAGTAAATGACATTTTATAATTGAGTAGGGAAATGAAGGAAGGCATTTGCTTTGTTGTAAGATACAGTGCTCTAGCATGCACCTACCCAGTGTACATCAGGACTGTAGTATGTGATGTGGTAGCATATTTCCTAACATACATAAGCATGTTTTCCTAATATAGTTAGGCATGTTTACTAGGTTCTGCTGGCACTCAGGAACTGGAACTGTGATGCTCACATATGATGGCTTTTGCACGACAGCACCCTGAGTTTAAAGAAAAGTTGACAAAGAGCATGGGAAAATGCCAAGGCACTCAAGTCTTTACCGTCAAGAATGGTCTTCAGGAATCCCATGACACTGAGACCTGTGGAAAAGTCCAGATCAAGAAAACCTCAGTGGAGAAGTATCAGGATGCAGAGCATTTAGGCAAACTGGGCACAGACCATGGAACCACATAGGAAATACCCACAAGTGCTGTGGAAGTTGGGTGGTGGCATTCTTTATTATCTTTGAAAGGTCATGGTGCCTGGAGGAGGTTCCTCATCATGCAAGGAAAAAACATGACTCCTAAGAAGAACAAGGAAGAGAATACAGGAGCTACAGGCTGCCCAGCCTTACCTTGAATCCTCCTTGAAGCCATTTCCAGACATGGAGGACAGGAGAATGACTGTCGGTAGTCCACACAGATTTGTGAAGGGGAAATCATTCCTGACAATGCTAAATTGCCTTCTATGATGACTTGAAAGGATTCATGAATAAGAGGAGAGCAGTGTATATCTCAACTTTAGCAAGTCTTTTGGCACTGTCTGTCACAACATCCTCACAGACAAGCTATTGGAACAGACTAGGTAAATGGGCATGGAAAACTGACTGAACTGACGTGCTCAATGGGTTGTGATCAGCAGCATGAAGTCTAGTTGGAGGCTGGTCTCTACTGGTGTACTACAATGGTTGATACTGGGCCAAAATGGTTTAAAATCTTCATTAATTAGCTGAATGATGGGACACGGTGCACCCTCAACATGGTGCAGGAGATTAGACTGAGAGGAATGATTGATACCCTAGAGGATTGTGCTGCCATTCAGAGGGACTAGGATAGAATGCAGAAATGGGCCAATGGGGTCTCACCATGTTCAGTAAACGGAAATGCAGTCCTGCACCTTGGAAGGAACAATCTGAAAGCTGAAACACATGAAATTCCACATAAGAATAAGAGAAATTTTACTGTAAAAGTGACTGAACACTGGCACAGGATGACTAGAGAAGCTATGTAGTTGCCGTCTCTGGATATACTAAAAATCTGCTGTGGTATGTCCTGAGAAACCTGGTTTGCGACTAGATGGACTAGGGAAACTAGGTTTATCTTCAGAGGTTCCTTTCAACTTCAGTAATTCAATGATTCTCTTTGTCTGGATGCAGAGAAATATGATAGTCTAGTTACCCAGGTGGTAGAAATATCACCAATTAAAAGGAACAAAAATGATAATATGGAGGGAGAATGACAGACTGTTTGGCTTGTTTTGGCTTTATGTTGAAAGTGAAAATACATTAATAACATAAAAAGGAAATGTTTTTAAAAACAATTCTTGTAAAAAATAGAGCTGAACAACACACTTTGTTGGAATTAACTGCCTCAAAACATATTACTGTTGTAGTTTTGATTCCCAAAACCAACATGCTTGTTTCATTGAAGGTGGGTGGTCTAGCACTTAGGAAGTTGACAATGTACTGGGTTTCATGAGGCTCATTATTTTTCTTTCCATTTTTCAAAACAGAAAGTAATAATGTTTACATCCTTTATAAATCAATTTCAGATCTCACTATGAAACCAAATGTGGGTATTTATGTTCTCTGCACTGACATTTTTATATATATAAGGAAAATTTTGTGATTAAAAATCATAATGGGAAAAGGAACAAGAAAGTACTTGATATTCAATGCTTGTACCAACTTTGGTGTCACTGAAATTCAGGCATTTAGCATTAATCTTTTTTGATTCAGTTGGAAACCCCTGTTTATTTCATCACACCTAAGAAATCAAGGAGCCTAATAGACAACTAATTAAATATAAAGTGCCCATTCATTCTGCAACACGTCAGTGACTGCTGAATAGCAACAAAAGAGGTAGGAGAGATTACAAATAGCTGTTTAATGAAAGCAGTGTCAAGCCAGAACAGATATTGCTAAAATATTTCGTTGTGGCAAACAAGATGTTTCCAGATCATGTGCACGAAGAGCTGCTTGTCTAAGTCCATTTTTAGTGGACTGGAATCAATGTGAAAAGTGGCCCTTGCTGGGAATTTCAGTGGCAAGCCTTTGCCTACAGAGTAGAGTAGATGTGGAGAGATAATATTTTCTCTTTAAATCCTGGAGGAAGGAAGAAGGGAGAGAGGAGTGGTTACAGTGCTAAAGTATATTCTGTGCTTCTACTGTGGATAAGGAAAAAAGCTGCTATACCCATGTCTACATTCAACTCTCTTGTGAATCTTTAAATACAAGGATGTTGTTCTGTGTCTTTATATAACAGCTTCCAACAAGACAAAGTTAATAAATTAGCATCAATAATGTTTTTCTTTTGATCAGTATTTATATGATATGTTTGGGAAAACTCACTTTCTACTCATTTTCAGCCACATCTGTACCAGATAGTGTGGAGGCTGAGGGGTCTGTACTTCTGTTTCAACGTATATTGCAACATTTTTATTGCATTCCACAGGTCCTCCAGTAAACGTTACTTGCAATATTTTTATCAACAGTTTTGGATCAGTCACAGAAACCACAATGGTAAGTGCTATGATGCCATTGGCAAGTGAACAACAATACTTAATATATGTCATGAACACAACCTGTCAATTTTTCTATTTATTGTTCAACTTGCAGGTCCTCCTGTAAATGTTACCTGCAACATATTTATCAACAGCTTTGGTTCAATAGCAGAAACTACAATGGTGAGTGGGACTGGTCATTGAAGCCATCTTGTGAAGGAGTGGGATGTCATGTAGAATAGTGATGCTCAGGATGTGGGGACATTTACTGAGTTATTAAGCTGCTAAAAAACTACCAGCTGAACAATAATAAAAAATAAAAGAACATAAAATAAATATAAAATAATTCTATAAAGAAATATATAAATTATGAAACTCGTCTATTGAGTCTAAATGCAACTCCGTAGGGACTGCACCATAATCTCTAGAGACTGTAACAGCAGCAAATATAGGTATGTGCAAACCTGCTTCCTCAGGTTATACTAGCACTGAAGAGACCAAAGAATTGCTGGAGCTCAGCTGTGGGGGTCCCTGCCAAGCACTCTGTATTTTGAGTGGGTTTTACACCACATGCTGAATTATTTGCTGCTGCAGATAATGGTCTTGTTTAACTTAGATAAATCTATGTGAATTGCAGCCACATCAGTAACTGAAGTGAATGCAAAACGTGAGTCAAACGACTAGAATATACAGCTATAAGAAGACTTAGGTATTTTGAGGCTAAATTGATTCCAGCTGACTAAAATATATATTTTGTCTGAATGCAATGGACGCACTCAGACAAAAAAGAAAAGACCAAAATGAAAATGTAGGTTTTAATTCTGATAAATATAAATACTTCAGTTTTTCAATTTAATATGAGATTTATATCTTTAAAATTGCTAAAATTTAAGATTAACAAAATGGAAATTAAAATTTTAGTCCCAATTAAAAAAAATTTTTAGTCTAGAAATTTAGTAACCTATTATCTTTTTTCAATATTTGCTATGAAAAATAAACAATATTTTAATGAGTGTATTTAAAAGATGCTGAGTTTTTAAACTTCCTCTTTTCAAAAAAATGAAAAAATAAAAGATCTGTTGTTTATTCAAGCATACATACAACTGATCCTGGAGGCTAATCCAGAGGGATATTTTTGATGACTTTGTTATAATAATGTGATAAACCCATAATAATTATCAGGTGCTCATATCTATGGCACTTTTGAAGAATCTGCAATGTAATTCCACAGCTCTGTTTTCCAATGATACACAGCATCCAGATCTTTCTGGATTTGCTGAAGAAAGAGGAATTAAAAGTGCTGTAGGAAATAAGGAAACAAAATCCTGTAGGAGTAAGATCTTGGTAACTAAAAACAAACTTTCTACCCACAAAAGGACTTGAAGTAAACCAAAGAACTGGGATTTTTTTTTAAATAAAATTGAATAGTTACTGCCTTGCAAGCCTTACATTAAGGAAGAGTGGATATGTAGCCTGACTTGTGGATTTTGTTCAGTATTAATTTAGATTCAATTGTAATTCATGCCATCATTTTAGAAACTGGTGCCTAAAGAATGTAGGAACACAAATTTTCTGCTCCTAAATATTTTTACTTAAAACCTCTCCTTGTTATTTTATGTTTTTTAGAGATAAAAGTCAAGTTATTGTTAGGCCAGATTGCTTTCTTAAATAGTATGTGAAAGACTCTTGTATTAATGACAAGCTGTAACATACAGAGCTATAAAATAAACAGATATGTTAATGTTTTAGAGAATGTTTTTGTAATACTTTAAAACCACCTTATAAGAAAACTAAAATCAAGTTTAAAATGGCAGGGAAAAAGCATGTCATGATGTAACATACTTATCAACAGACTTAATTTTCATTATTTGTGGAAAATGTCAATTGTTTTCCTATGTTTAAAGGATTCTGAGGAGATAGCTATTAATGTAGCCTTTTTACCCAGCCATGTCTGTTGATCCTAGTGTGTAGAGTCATCAGCATAGCATTAAGTAGCAAAACTTCTGCAAGTCACTAGCTTTACAAGATGGCATTCAATGAAAATATATTTGCACGACCTAATGCTGATTGCATTAATTAGACTCCTTCATTGCTTTGATTAAATCCCCTCATTGCATTCTATCTTCTATCAAATATGTTAATGTGCACCTTTCCAATGTTCATTAACACATTTTGCTGAAAACAGCCAAACATTCAGGTAGATGAAAACAAAGACTATTGGCATTCTTATTTTGCTTTGTTCATAGTATCTGCTGAAAGTGTGGAAAGATTTCTCTAAAATGTTGTTCAATGGTTTGGTATTGATTTTCTTAATGCTGTCACTTCTTTAATGACTATTGTGACTAGTTTGGGAGTCTGCTCTGAGAGGCAGGCATCAATTACTGTTCCATCTACTTTGCCTTTCTGAAATAGATATAATCTTGTGGTAAAACTGTTGGCATCCCTTGTGATAAATAACGAGTTTTGTTTGACTCCTAGGAATCATTTTCCCCTGTAAAATGCTCTTGATGGTTTTGACATAAAACTAAACGATTCATTTAAAAGCCTGGATTGCAAATTCAGTAGAGACACTCCTGTCTCAGAGGAGAGGAATGCTTAGTGAAATCATGTATATGTACTGAAGGGACATTATCAGAATATAACTTGGACAATCTACAGCAGTTCATTGGGAACTTGGGGGATGAAAACTTGTTTAGAGAACCTTTCAGTAGGAGAATTAACATGGCAAACAGGATTGCACTTCCAGATCTACTAAATTCAGTAAGCCAGGTTCTCAATAACATTAGTAGGAGTAGTTTCTGTTTGCTGATTGTGACAGACACCAGGATGAAATTCCTCCCTGTGTGAAAAGCCAGCATACTCTTCCGAAAGCTAAAACCTTTCATTCAGAAGTAAAATGGAATTTTGTGCTGGTTCAAATGGATGAATCCCACAGAGTGTTCCTGAGTTTTATTCCCAAAGAACTAGAGAAACAAAATGCATATGTATCAGTCATTCAGTATGATAAGGCACATATGGGACAGTATCACAATTGAAATTTTTTTCCTCCAAAATAAAAGACTTTCTTCCATGTTGGAATGATATATATTATACCAAAATGAAAATAGTAAAAACTGGCTGGAGTCAAGATGAAATCATAGGAAGTTTTCTTCATTGATTAGTCTTTAATTTAAGCCCAAAATTGCAAAGAAAAAGAAAAATATGTTCCTGAGTAACTTCACTGAATAAAGCAGTTATGCCAGTAATATCTGTATCTATTTTTGGAAGCATTCACACATGCAGCATTCAGCAGAAAATTCACTGTACAGCATGACTGCAGTTGAGTATCACAGATGAGTAATCTACATCAGCCTGGGCAGCGTCCCAAAGAATTCAGATGTTCGGTGTTGCTAATGACCAGGATTTTTTAGCTATCAGCTGTAGGAGAAGCTAAGAGCAGTTTGTACATTGACAAGCTAATTGTTAATTACAGAAATGACTAACTGTGAGGACATTATTATTGTAGTTATGCCCTATAATCAATGACTGACACTATGCACCAGATTCTTTGCTGGGGTAAATGTATCAAACTCCAGTTGTGTTTCGAGTACTTAAGTTAACAGAAAAAAATTAGATTCCATGGCTGTGGCTGGCTGCATGATACTATCTTCCAACTAGGAAAACCCTCCATAATTACAAATAAGCTTGTTAGATCCTGATTAATCACATGTACAGTTCTAACTGCATACCTTGCAAGGTTAGGTACATAGGTAACTTTTTTAGTAAGCCCTTCCTATGCTTGAAGAGCCAGCCAAGTCTGCCGTTTCCCTCAACATCCCAGCAATCAATGCCCTTGGAGGGGAAGATAGGAGGAAAGCTAAATCTAAGACAAACATCAGCTCAGAGACAGAAAGTAGCACTGAAGAGGGAGTGGGGCTCCCCTGCACTACCCCTGCTACAGCAGTGCCTGAGACCAAAGGGATTCAGAGCTTTGCTGAAGGTCTTGTCAGTGAATCTGAATTTGTATTTGCTGAAAGATTATTTCTATCTACATTCCTGTAACACAAACTAAGTATATCTGTGAACTGAGTCCATAAATCTTCAGATAAAGCTCCTAAAACTAATCAGATTAATATTCTTTTAGTATGTTTGTATTACTCTGATCTTATGGCTTGAGAACAGAGAAAAACTGTTTATCTGAGTTGCCTTGAGCTATCATTGGCATTGGTGTTGTGACTGAGATTGAATCTTCAGGTCCGCTGTCAGAAAGAATTTGCAGAGCAGGTGTACTCGTGGTTGTGTAGGAGTGCATTACTACAGTCCACCCACTCCTACCCTCAGGAACTTGAAAAATACACACTGTAGTCTGCCTCAGCTCCATGTTGTTCTACCATTCTCAAGAGAATTTTTCTTCAAAAGAGAGTTACAATGTTAGCACAGGAAAAGTAAATTCAAAATTCTGCACATGATCTGGTCTGACTGTAAAAACACATTCCCCTCAACTGCTAATACCACAAGCATAGGAAAGAAAAGTAATGCTGTGTATGTTACCTTTCCATTTTTATTTCTCATTAAAATATTTTTATATATGTGTAAAGCCCAGCAGACATAAACAAAGGTTTCTGTCATATTTTGCTTCTAAATACAAAGCTTGCAGAGGGAAAACATTTCCAAGTGTATCACTGTGATGGCTCTGGTGTATTTATGAAGAGACACATTGAAAAATATAGTGTAATACTATTGGCATTATTTATGACTTTGGTATAATATATAGCATCATATACAAGCTCTTCTATGAATTAAGATTTTTCAGACTGGTTTTTATTATCTAAATCGCCAGCTACTGAAGTTCATGAAAGCACTTTTTAAAAAGATATTTCTATCCAATTTACTGATTTGACTTATTTATGATTCTTATATCATGGGGAAAAGTTCCTCTGCTTTCCACAGACTTCATTATATATCTTATTACAAAGGAGTATTAAAAGTAGTCATACAACTAGTTGTAGCAATTTAATTCTCTCAGCAATAGCTGATGACAGTGTCAACCTTCTTTTCTGTAGAATTAAAATCAAGTGCTTTCCTAGATTTAGAACCAAAGCTGTCCCATATAAACTTATGACACTCTCAGTTTCTAAGACAGAAATAAGGGACGGTATGTTTATGGGTAGTGTATCCTCACAAGATATGATGAAATTTTATGAGCTCAGAACTGTGAGTAGCTGTTCTGTCTTTAAATGTCTGAAACAAGACCATCATAGAAAGTACAATGACTTGTGAAAACCAGATACTGGCTTTTGTAAGTATCTTTAATAAACATGCTATCCTTGAACCCTCTCTCAGGTCTGTCTTGCTCTGATGAGTAGACATTCCTGTTTTGTCTCACATCTACCCAACAGCAAAATGAAAATGAAAAAGAAAGAAAGAAAGAAATGTTGTGTCCTAATGAGATTGCAAAGCATTATCCTGTTAGGTTCAGAAACTGCATCAGTTTGTATGTCAGAAATATTCTGTCAGGGTGGCAGCACACCTCTCTGCCACCCTACTAAGTGAAGAGTGGGAAAGCTGAAGCTTGGAGGGGCTAGTTCCCAGAGTCTGCATATTGGGCAAGCTGCTTTCTGCAGTTCTAATCAGAGTGAAAATACTTCTCTACATTTCAAGTATGATATGTTCTTTAGACAATGCAGTTCAGTTACCTAACTAAACCCAGTTCAGCTCATACATTTTCCAAGTCAAAAGCACAGTTGATGTACTGTGGCTATTGCAAAGTAAACCTTAAATGAAAGGTTTGTATAATTGATAGAATTATATTGATAAATTATATTGATAAAATATTCCTTCAGATAATATAACCAATATAAATATTAAGAAATATTTTTCTTTTAGAGGAAGAGTACATGTGTTTCTAAGAGAGTGTTCACAAACAAATTACAAAATAGTAATTTCAGGTAAATATGCTATAAAAGCAAAGTAAGCTGGGGGAAATTAAGCATTTATTCACTGTCTTTAGGGGTTTGGGATAAAGAGAATAAGCATGCCTGTTCCCTCCAGAAAGTTTAGACCCTAAAAGCCCTTTTCACACTCCCCTTTAATAACCAGTCTTGACACAGTGTTAATGTTGGTTCTAAATGAACCTCTAAGTAATTGCTGCCTTTCCCAGTTGTGACTAGCAGACCACTGAGCAGAAGAATACAATTAGGCCAATTTTACTGGGATACAGAGAGGGAGGAGTAAATGAAGGAACATACAGAGAAAAGCATACAGTAGGCAGAAAAAGGAAACAAATAGTAAATAAGAAGTGCTGATTTAATTTCTTCCACACAATTTTGGCTTCATTGGAATTAGAAACTATTCATGAGTACATTAGACATAATCGATTTACATATTGGAATCAATTTATTTAAATTGGTATTTTCATAGAATCTTTGTTGAAATTATATATATCTAGCTGCAATGCTTTTTGACTTTCTAAGTACCTGAGTTAGTCTATATCATTTGAAAGAAGGTTATATTTAATATTGGAGGTTACAGTTAATATTCTTCTCATCACTGAAGGAGTTTTGATTTGAAAAATATACCAGTTGTGTTTGTTGGGTTTAACACAGTATTTTGACAATGTTATTTTCAAATGACAACCCTGATGTTCAAAAGGTAACGCAAATGTTTGCTGTAATGCTGGTGCTGTAGTAAGTCTAAGAGCATAAAGAAAGCTAAAGTGGGCTTCCAGTTTTGGTTCCTTAGTAACCTTTTTACATGGAATTTCTGTAGGACTACAGAGTGAACATTTTTTTGAGACAGCAGTGGAACGACTCACGTCTGGCTTACAGTGAATATCCTGATGATTCCCTGGATTTGGATCCCTCTATGTTGGACTCTATTTGGAAGCCAGATTTATTCTTTGCCAATGAGAAGGGAGCAAATTTCCATGATGTCACAACAGACAACAAGTTGCTGAGGATTTCTAAAACTGGAAAAGTGTTGTACAGTATCAGGTAAACCAGTTAACTTGATTTTTTTTGTCTTTATCCCTTTCTTTCCTCTGTTTTTTTCTGGATGCAATGTACATATTTAATTTTTCTTGCTGTCCCATGTGTACAACTGAAATGAGACTTAATCGTAGCAGAGTAGAAGGAAAAATTGCCTATGTTCCTTTGCTAAGCTTTTACTTTTTGCAAAATAGTCTCTAAGTGGCACAGTGGTGCTTCTTAGACTAGTTGAGAACTTGAGGCTGTCTGGAACTTTAATGGTATGCCTCAGCAATTCCCATTAGCGTTAGCTCAAGTCACTCTTACAAAGCGAGGAAATCAGCTCTTCAGTAGTCTGTGGGTTGCAATTTGAAAGTAAAGGGGAATAGTATTTTAAATGACTGCTCAACACTTTAAGTAAAAACATTCATGAAATGCAATAAAATTGCCATGCAAGTCGCTAGGCAATTGGATGTATTCATTCGCTTTAAAAAATAACTGGAATTATGGAAAGCATTTTTTAATGCTAAGTGCATTCAAGTGTGTGTCATGTGACTAGATTTAGGCTGAATTAGCAAACAGTGACAAAATATGATTTGATATGACCTGACGAAACAGGATATATGTAGAGAAATAGAAATGCATTTCACAGGCATAAACAGCAGCAAACAATCTGCAGTATTTATATGACATTTGGCTTACTGTGAGCCATTATTTGCTTAATACAGGTAGACAGAGATGAAAAATATTATATAATTGCTCTTACAATTGTTTACAATAATTTTCCACTTTTTGTTTATTCCTGGGAATGCTTCTTGGCTTTTGACTTTCCTGCATTGTGGAAACCAAACATGATAGTATTTGTTTAACAGGTTGTTTAGTGAATTTACTCATCTGTAAAGCAGATTAGAAGGCAGTTGTTTCTGATGGGGCATTCTGTTTGTGACTGCATATTCATTCAGGAATTATTATTGATCCAGGCTCAGGATAGTTGTGTTCTTTAGGATGTTAAATAAAAAAATATTAGCATATCACTTCCCTAATTTACATAGTTCTTTTGGAAATTCCTTGATAGGAGCCTAGTAATACTTGGGTGGATTAAACGGGGTGGAAAGCAAATGGTTACTGAGCAAGGTTTCAAATTGGTATACCTGAACAGTTTGACAATAGTAATAGGATACAAGGATGGAATCAGCACTAGCAGAGTGATAAATATACTGTCACTTACAAATATTTCCTGTTTCACTCTGAGAAAGAAATGAATGCATCTGTTTGTTTGAATGGCATCAGACACCATCTTATTGGAGGCAACAGTGCAGTTGGGTGTTGTTCTGAATGCAGATGGATAATTTTCCTGATATTTGCCCATGCAGCAAAAGTAATATTTTGAGCTGCCATATCACATTTGTAAAGTTTCCACACCTAAATGCAAATTAATTTGAAGCAGAGTAAGCAGTATTCCAATAGAGCAATAAGCAAAGTTCATTGTTTCTCATTTGTATCACACAGCAGTAACAGAGGCTTACCTGGCCTCTAACATACTTTTCCGGCACTTTACAGTGAAGAAATCTTTCCAGAGTTTGGAAACTTGAAGTCAGAAGTAATTAGAAAAAGTTGTCTTTATTCTCTAGATACTGGGCTAGATACATCTGTGTAATGTCAGTTGTTTGTATTTGTGCTATGTGAAAAGAAATGAGAATACTTTAGTGGCTGGTTTCGGTACATTGGGAATGTTCTACCGCTGCTATTTTCACTACTGCACCAATAGCGCTTCACCCGCCATCAGTATATTTAGCATTTAGTGTGCTGAAAGTGTTTCAAGCACTTCACAAACACATCTTAGATGCAGCAGTGTGGGCTGGTTTGTCATATTTCCAAATTTAATAAAATCAAGGTCAAGTTCATCTCGCATACATACAAACCATTCTCTGCATAAAATGAGTTGAGAACAGCTCCTGGTAATTAATGGGTGAGAGGCAAGGTGTGTGTATTATATGACTGTGGTATCCCTCTTCCCTCTATCCTGCACTAAAAACATGGAAATGTGATGTGCAGGAGGCTCAACTGGCTTATGCTGTTAAATGCTCTCAGAGGCCTAACCTGCCCTTACTGAAGAGAATTTGGAAGAGCACCTGGAACAACAACTCATGGTCCATATTTTACTAAACCAAGACATTTGGTGTAGGGTATGGGTGCTCAGATATGTCATGAAAGAGTGAGTGAAGGTCTGACCTGTATATTACCTCCACTGCAGTGCTTGGCTCTGGGAATTATCTCACCCTGTGGTAAGCATGAAGCTCTTCATCCTTCTCTCAGTGAGGGATAAGCCATGCTGCATTTGCTGGTGATGGTATGCATGATGTAGATTTCCATAGACTGACATACAATAATTAGTTATGATGCTCATGCTTTCAGATTCCTACATCTATATTTATTTTTCTTGGTGCTTTTACAGAAAAGAGAGTTGATTGTTGATGTACCCACCTATGAATCATATAAGTTTCGAAATCCAATCCCATTTTTAGATGTTTGCTGCATGCTCAAATTGCTACCTTGATATTTGTTTTGACCTCAGGTAGCATGTTACACAGACCCTCAGGCTCCATATTTGGATAACTTTGGGTCCTTCAGGGAGAACTAAAACCTTATGGAGGGAACCCTGCACTACTCAATACTGCAAATATATGCTATTGCCACTAGAGATGTAGCAACAGCTCCTAGGGGCACATATATTTTGAGAAGTCAGCAGTTACAGCAAAGTTATATTCAGCAAACAACTTCACTTTAGTCAAGATCAGTCTCAGTTGTACCCTTTGAGCTGCAAAAAAAATTGCTGCAACTTTTATTTTAAAGCACTCTGCAGAGAGCAGTCAATAAAAAGGGTTTATAATAGCAACATTCAATAAAATTAGTTTATGTCTATTCTGTAGGCTGAAAAAACAATGAGAGTTAAAATCATAACCTACATGATGTCACCCCCTAGATACTTGTGACTCATCCACTCCCAATCCTTCACTGTTCTCTGCATGGACTGGATTTTTGGAGGGGGTTCTTCACTTGGAAAGCATGGCAGAACTGTGTGATGGTAACAAGAATCATGTTCCAGGCACTCACATTCTGTATGACACCTGTATTTTGCATTGCATACACCACTGCAGTGGTTTTATATTCTGTGGACAAGGATCAGTATCTTTGTCGCAGTGAGGGCATCAGGAAAGTGCTAATCAAACTCACAGGAGACTTCACATTCTCTCCGAGCTGGCCATTTGTGCTACCTGTTTCTCACAAACTCATTTCAGGCTGCCAGCCAGCTCAGAATATTAGCATCTGCCTAAAAGCTTATTTTAGCAAAGTAATAGAAAGCAGTTTTATTTAACATTTGAGGGAGCTTTTTCTACATTAATTGCCTCCTCCTTTTAATATTTTCAGTGCCTTTCAGCCATATGAACTTGATTCAGAAGATGATATAATTCAACTGTAATATTGATCCATGGCATTGAACCTAGAATATATTGGTCAGGAAGGTAAAGGCATTGGAACTGTACTCTTTATTTTTTATTTTTTTTCAGCAGCTGCTCCAGAAAACACTCCCAGTTGCCTGATAAGGTGGTAGAGCTGTGCTTTGAGTTGTGGTGACAGTGCATTTAGCCAGAAATAGTTACAAAGTAGATTACTAAATATTTTTAAAATATGAGAAGGTTTTAGAATGTGTTGCATAATTTGACAAGAGAGTCACTTGGAATTCTAGGGATGAGATTTGTGCATGTTCACAAATTATGTTTCTTCCCCTATTTTTGCTATTCCTGTTCAAAGACCAATGAATGACCTAGGAAGAATTTCCTCAAGTCTTTCAAAATACCTGTTTTTCTGTCTTTGTCTTCACAGTGCCAGAAATATGAGTTATGTAGACAGTTAGTTCCTCACGGTTTCAACTATTGACCTAGATTTAATTGTAAATTTTATTATGGACAAAGGCAGGGTGTCTACTAGAGAGCACTGCTGTGCTGTAGGGCATGAAGAAATGGAGAAAGTTCAAGCTATTGGATTGCTCTATTTGTGCATCTGTTCTAGGGATGATTACTACCCCCTGCATTCAGCAACAAGTAGCTGACAGGGTGAGTTGGCACATCCAAAAGCCCTCACCTGCTTATGCAAGCAAAGAAGAGTGTCTGTGAAAACAGTGTATTTATTTGCAATGCTGCCTCCCATGCCAGCTGCCTTACTCAGGAGTTTCCAAAATTGACTCTTAGTGTGGCCATAGTGCTGACTGACAGCACACTGAATCAACTCCCTCCTGCACCCCCACAACCCCCCACACTATTTTGGGTTATATTAGGATCTATGACTACCATGTCCCTCATGTATCAGAAGTCATCTATAGCACTTTTATAATTCAGCTTTTCTGAGTGAAACTTCTCTGTTTTGGAGTCTCTGCTGTACTTGTGTTCTTTGCCCTGTGGGAAAGAAAAGCAGATTAAGGAAATATGTAGGTAGCACTGTTAGTCCCTCTGCAACAGACTGGTTATATGGCAAAAAGTTCACTATCCTTCTGAAATATATTATTTTTAATAAGATCAGATCTTAGATTTTTTGCATGGCTACTACAGAATATGTGGCCACGTTACAGTGAAATCAGGCGTAGATTTTCCAAAACAATTTTGGGGTACAGACTTTATCAACTATATGATAATGAAGATCCATTTATACCTGTTGTGCGTAAATCATCCATGTCATGGCAGTCTAGCCTAGCAGAGTGGTAAGAAATGTTATGTTCTACAGCTCTGTGTGCATTCTGTGCTTTAATTTGATGACTTCAATTTTATTTTACAATCCAATGTTGGGATTTAAGAGGATTTGGACTTTACTAGCAGCATTGTCTTTCCATGTGACAGATTAGCAGAGGTGGGAGCAGAGGGACGTTTATCACGATTGCCATGGCTGTTTACTATGTAGGAGCACCACTCTCTGACCTCACACAATCATATTTATTACCTCAGGTCCTATCAGAAAAATACTGGTATTGATAA